AGTGAAGGGAGCTGGATTTTATGGCTTAAGGTCCCTTCCAACCTTACATTTTTCTGATTTTCTGATTCATGGTGTCAGGTGAATACTTGAGAATTTGTGCCTTCGTTAAAAAAATGAAGTTAATTTCTAGTCCTTAGGGTTGTTGAAGAAAGCTTAAATATGAAACCTAAAGGCTCAAAAAATAGAAGAGAAAAAGAACCCCGGATGTATTATTTGAGAACATATTTTGATTGTTAAGACAATCTCAGGATGGTGTGTGACACGATTTTTGAATGCTTGGGGTTGGCAGTGCTGAGAAGGGGATATTGTAGATAAACCTGTTATTTCCCAGCATGCCTTTCTCTCCTAAGTCTCAGAGGGAGACTGACTGGAACAACCAAGAATCAGCCATTATGAAATCCTTGCTCTTTAAAGTAGGATGATCTTGGGGATTTAGTAATCTTGACATTGTTCCTTTTCTTTGTGCTTGTATTCTTTTTTTTTCCTGTCTCAGAAGGATTTGCAATCCTACTGTAAGTTTTCAGGATGTGTTTCCAGCCTTCTAAGGGAATTCTTACTCATTCACAGTGTGAATTGATTTAATCACAGTGATTTAAATAACTGATTTAAATCACAATTTAAATCACCAAAAAACAGTGATTTAAATCAAGTTTCCCACTGATACTTCTTCACATATTTCTTCAAACAATGGTGCAAATCTGACCACTAAAACATGTTAATATACAGCTCAGTACAGCATTTCATAATATCTAAGAGGGTATTTTTTGTGTGTAATTTTTTAGATAACTTGATTTTTATCAATTTAGGAAATAGTACATAATCATTACTTGTGTCAAGCTGCAGATGCAGCAGCAGTACATTAGGAATAGTAATAACTAATCACACAAACATATTTTATGAAGCTAAATCTTTAATGTTACATAAATATTTCACATTTGCAATTTAAGCAGTCTTCTGAGTTGCCAGCTAATGGCTGTCCTTAGTGCTCAGAACACTAAATGTATGGTGTCCTTAAAACTTTTACAACTCGTTCTCATCTTCCAAACTCCCACTATCATTTTGATGCAGATCTTATTACAAGTTACCAAAAAAACCCTAAGACTGATTGTGCTTAGAGTTCACTTAATTTTGGACTAAGCCCCATTGAAAACAACTATAGGACTGGATTAAAATGACCATCAGAGCTTTCTTGCACAAGATAGCATCTACACTGGCATGGATGCTCTTGCGCAAAAGCACATCTCTTGTGCAAAAGCACATGCCAGTGTAGATGCTCTCTTGTGGAAGAGTTTTTGCAGAAGAACTCTTCCGCAAAAGAGTTTTTGCACGAGAATGCGCCAGTGTAGATGTAGCCATTGTTTTTCTGTCATGAGACAATGCCCTAACTAACTCTACTGTGCTTGGCCCAGGTCCATCACCATATAAGCACAGAACAAAAACAATCATGTTCAGCCTGTGTCTGTTTTTTCCTGTTTCTGTTTGCTGAGAAACAGAAACAGAAGACCCAGACTTTTCAAGAAGCAAGACCTAATTGTTCAGCTTAACAGACTAGAGCCATTGATTGATTTTTATGAGATTGAAAGTGGAGGTGTAACATGTTTGTGATAAGGTTTAATTGTAAAAGTTATTATTGAATGAGAAATTTAATATTTTATTGATGATTAAAAAAGATTATTTAAATTAAAAAATCTGATATTTTTAAAACGTCACTGATTTTTATCCATCCTGCTTATTCACACCCTCAGAAGATGTGTGTAGTGGAGGGTGTATTTTCTTGAATTACTTTACATTATGTGGTAAATTCTCCTGGTCACAGTACTAATGTGATAAACAGTGTATGCTTCATTTCTTCAGGAGAAGCTGTCTGATGTACACCATCGGATATAGTGAATGCTCTTAAAGTTAATTTATTCAGATGATTTTTCAATGTCCATGTCACCACAGTTGTGAAATCTGCTTCCTGATACCTGTAAATGATGCCAGAATTTTGCTTTTCTTTTGTTCTTCTGACAGAGATTTTGATTCTTATTTTTTTGGGCTGCTTAACTGAATATTACAATGGTTTCTTTGTAGTAATTCATTTGTCATTTGATTAATATTTTGCATTGGTACAGGGACTTTTTTGAATACTTGGAAATTTCATAATGTGATCCAGTCCTTGCACAATTGCAGTGGATAGCAGTCAAGTTTTACATTAATTCTAAAAATGCACGTTTTTTTTTTTTAAATAAAGCCCTTCACAGAAAGGAACCAGATAGCATTTGTGAGTTAAGGCGTCTGTGTCTAGGGGCCACTCTGCAGGATTTAGAACCTACAGAAAGTGGAATGTACCTTCTGCTAGTTCATTGTGGTCTGTGTGGCTTATTAACAGCACCAGTTTTTAGGAAAGGCTGGGTGGCTGAGGCTTATGTTCGTTAATACTAAGTGAGTTCTCAATAAAGCCAAAATCTCAGGAAAGAACAAGTTTGACCTTTCACTGCGTGTATGGATTTAATCTGGGTCAGCATGTCCCTTCCTCAGACTGGGTCAAAATCTGTGCTACGCGTCTCAGGAAAGGCAACCCAGAATGCCCAGTCCTGAAGAGGGAGAGATAAAAGTGGCTTTACTGGCTTCCTAATTCTGCCTGTTTCAGTGGCTGTACTAATTTACAGTAGTCTTGCATAACTGCCTATGGCTGGCTCTCATGAACCCTTGTACACTTATATGCCAGGGGCTGTGAGCTGGGGAGGCAAAGAACCACATAAGGAAATTCCCCAGAATTTCGTTCCAGGCCCTTATGCAGGAGAAGCTAAAGAAGTGGCCTGATTTTCAGAGAGAGTGAGATCCTGTACTTCTTAGTACCTTGTGCTGTCATTTGCCACACCTGTTGAAAATGGTTCTAAAAGGCTACTTGCCAGAATTACATTGTTTTACCTCAGCTTTATACAAGATGACACAGGGTGTGGAGGATCAGGCCGATTGTGCTTTTTTGGATGTCACTTATCAGGCATCACCACTGTTTGTTATGTTAATCATATGTTTACTTTGACTTCATGGGACTCATTTAAAAATTGCTTATAACATTTCTCTTTTTTGAGGAGTCCAACAGGAAATCTAAGATTATATTTACATGCTGTTCAACCAATTAACAAAACAGACACCGTCATGTTTTGTTTTGTTAATGACAGGCTGGCTAAGATATCTCTAAACTGGTGTTTAAGGTTATTACCACACCGTGTACCTTACTGTTCCCAAATAAATACACAGGGTCAGATCCTGCTACTGGATCCATGCAGGCAAGATTTGACTTTAATAGGGTTCCATATAGGCACAAAGGTCATGGATACAATTGCAGGATCTGGCCCTAGATTGGGGTGAGCAATAATTTTTGCAGGGGAGCCACTTAATGAATTTTGGTATGTGGTCATGGGCCAGCCCCACTCCCATAAGGGGCAGAGCCTAAGGCAGAAGGGGCGGGGCAGGGAACTAGCCACTCCACAAGTGTTGTCCGGGGCCTGACATTTTGAATTAAAAACACAGCAAAAGGCTCACAGCTCCCAATCTCTCCCCATTACCTGTGGCAATTTGGGGTTTGTGGTACCAGCCCCTGCCAGGGTAGCTCCACAATTGGGAGCCGGGAACCATTTAAATAGGATTCTGCTGCCTGAGCCACCACCTTGAAATTCAGTGGTATGGGCAGCAGGATATAATAGGCTAGATGCAGTCTGTGGGCCGGATCAAAGTGTTAGGTGGGCTGGATCCAGTCCCTGGGCCACATCTTGCTCAGCCCTGCCCTACATACTATGGTGATGGAGGCATAATAAGCATTCAGATTTGCACAGTTGCTAACACTAGTTTCCAAATTGTTATTGTCAGCCGGCTGCATCACACATATTTTTTATTATACATAACATTTATATAATCTGTTGTTTTAAGAAGCCAGTAAATACATGTTTACTTGAAAAGATATAGTGGAAGACCTATTATTGTTCAGCATATTAGCTCTTACATAAATCAGTAAGAACAGGTTTTTCTTAAAAATAAATAAAAAGATTGCTAATAAAGGAAATAAATATGCACTAAGCTCTGAGTAAGAAAGACATTTCAAAATTTAGCATTGGAATATGTAGTTCCTAACTATTCCTTTTGTGATGAACTTGAAGTGGATAGAAGACCATTGAATAATGTTACAGACTCTATTTGGTCCATTGCTTGATCAGAAGGTTTAGCTTTTTGTTTTGTTTTTGTTAACTTTGAGGCTGTCTAGACTACAGAGTTTTTTCGAAAAAAGTGGCCTTTTTTTAAAAAAAAAACTTCACCTGCATCTAGAATGCCGCTGCATTCTTTCGAAATTAAATTGAAAGAACATGGCGGTTTTTCGACAGTGGTAAACCTCTTTTTATGAGGAAGAACGCCTTTTTTTGAAAGAGCTCTTTCGAAATAAAGCATTCTTGACCGCAAACAGGGCTTTTTCGAAAGAGAGCATCCAGATTGCCTGGGTGCTCTCTTTTGAAAAAGCGGATCACTTTTTTGAAAAAAGTTGTGGCTATCTAGACGATCTTTTGGAAAAGCTTATTTCGAAGCTTCTTTTGGAAAAGCTTCTTTGAAAAGAAGCGTGCAATCTAGACATACCCTCAGTCCTTCCCTGAAATATGTCCATGAAGATTTTGAAATGTAACAAGAACATGAAGCAATTGCTTCTCAATAGAATAAGGAAAAGGGTATTTGTACCACTATGATAAAAGACATGTGGTTGTATGACTCACAGAATTTAAGGTTAGGTGGTTCAGTTATTTTTAAAGAGACAGGAAAGGGCTTTATTATCATGGGAACTCTCCAACTGACAGAATGTGTATAGTTCTGTTTGTATTGAGGAAGAAGTGAAAAGTATAAAATCTTGTTACAGTCTTCAGAAACTTTTGTCAATCTTTTGGCTTAAAACAGTGACATGGTAGTACAACCATATTCACATATAACAAAAGAATGTGCATATCTTACAATTTGTGTGCTTATTTCCACAGGGCATACATCATAACAGACTTCATGGGCATCAGAAATGAAAGTTTTATGAAAGTTGCAGCTGTAGGAACGTGGATGGGAGACTTTGTCACTGCTTGGATGGTAAGAAATGTAATAGCAAACTTTAAATGCAAAACACAAAAACTGTATAGCTGCCGAGTAAAGCAAAACAGTCCTGAACACCTTGAAATCTAAACAGTGTTTCAACTCAGACAAGTACTGAGGTAACAATGGCAGGGGTTGGAAATATGCTGGGAATCCAAAGGAGAGTTCATTAAAATGAATTGAGCCTAATTTTACTTTTTTGATGTCAATGGCAGTTTTCTCATTGAATGCAGTGGAAGCTGAATTGGGATCCTTCTTTGCTGTGAAATAACACCAATGCAACATAGTGGTAACGTGAAAAAGCAAGTGACAGCACAAACTCTGTCTCTAGTGACAAGGAGAAAGCTGAAGAGAAAGAGTTGATTGAGTGAGATTCTAAGAATGTATCAGGAAAAGAAAAAAGAGAATCAATAATATGTCTAAGATACACACAAATGTTGTCTGGAAAAAGCCATCTAAAGGGACATTATCAGATTAAATTTGCCCCACATTTAGGTTTTTGTAAAAATAAGCTTTTCCAAAACCTAAGACTGTTTTTATAAAGCTGCTTTAAATTCTGATGAAAACCATTTTTAAAACCGTGTTCCCTTGCCATCTTAGCAAACCAAACATGTTAGCAATGCATGAGAATGAGAAAGTGACAATTACACGCCAAAGTGAGTTTGCTCATGTATTTCTTTGAGCTGAGAAAAATACACTTTTTAAAAACAGGATGAATAGATAAAAATAAATAAGATTTTTAAAATTATGTTGATTTAAATAATTGAAACTTTAAGGAAAGATTTTTTTTAGAGAGAGATCTCATTCTGCGACCACTGAGTTCAGTAATGGCTTTGCAGAGAAAAGTAGCAGGTCTATGATTTTAGCCTTACAGAATCTATTGAATAGAAGTTCAATTGCCATTTTCCTGTTAGGCAGTGTCACTTTCTCTAACCAATCAATGATGCCTCAATTTCTGACTCCAAAATAATCAGAAGTGTTGAAGTTGCTTTTCCATTGATGCAGGAAATACAGCTGGAACTTTTATGACCACATTTCAGAGGAGTACAGACACATGGGGAGAAGGTGTCAGCATTTGACATGTCTAGTAATCACTGCTACCTGTGACACTGAAAACAAAGTACCAAAATAGAAAGAATTTTAGGTGATCTATAAGAATTAAGAGCAAGCACCATTTGTTAGTCCTTGGAGAATCATCTGAGTTTCTCCTCATTTATCTTCTAACCGCCACATATGTGGAGCAGCATCAAGGATTCTTTCAGCATATTGTACAGTAAGTGTCAATGGCTTGTCCAAGACAAATTACACTTTGTGAAATGCTGGCCATGAAAACCAAGTACACTTCAAATCATCCACCTGAACGGGTTTAGCATAAGAACATTGCACAGCTGATCTATGGAACTGATGTTGACATTTAATGTGTCTTTCTGTCAATCCAGTAATAAAAGTCATGGCTGCAGCTGACCCTTATTAGCATGTTCCTTCTTTTATGGCCTTCCTTAGCATTAAGCAGCTATGCAAAGACAGACAAGGCATGATCTAAATCAAACTGAGTGGGGTTGTGTCTATTCTTGATATGTGGCTCATGGTTCAAGTAGTGGATTACATGTTGGTCACAGTACGTTAAGCAGTGTTCCAATTAGTCAGCTATTCACTCCTCTCGTCCAAATTAAGTGCCACAAAGAATTAAGCAGCACTGTATATTATAACTTTAATCATTGCATAAAACAGTTGGAAAGTTAGGCTGCCATGCAAATGTCTAAGTTCAGAGACCACTAGCATCCAGAATCCTCTTTCCATATGTGAAGCTTTCTCTTTCACCCTGTAATCCTCATTGCCAAGCCTATTAAAACACTTGGTAATGTTATGCATGTTAGTTAATTCTCTACTTCCTTCTGCTAATTCTCTGCTTACTGCCGCTGTGATTTGCTGAATTTGAAGGTTGAACACTATGAAAAAATGGTTTACGGCTTCCCTCCAGTTTTCACTGATTTCCCCCTAAAACATTTGCTTCTGCATAGCAATTTAACTGTTTTTTATCTGCAAATATCAGTGTTCCCCAGGGGGAAAGATAGTATATCTAACCTTCTGAAGTACGTGAATTCTCATAAACACTTGCAAATATTTGAATTCATATGGATAAAGCTTCAAAGCAAAAAGGAACAGGGAGACTGCTGCTGCTGGATCAATCCTGCTATAGCTCCACCTTGCTGCAGATAGTGTGAAAAGAGCAGACTATAGCAGTGGCAATGTCTCAGAGCATCTAGGCCTAGCAACATAAAAAAAAAAAAGTACCAGGAGCAGAGTTATCAGGGCCATGTTTACACTAGAAAACTATTTTGAAATTAACAAATCCCAATTTAATGAATCCCAATTTAACAAAATTGAACTAAGCTATAGGGAAGCATTGAAATCAGTCTGAAGAAGGCTCCATTAATGTGGACACGCTACCTTGGACTTAGACCCCCAGGAAGCAATGGAGGGTAATTAGGTTGAATTACTCTGGGGCATAGTTATTTTGAAATAGCTGCATTGGAGCATCCACACTTTGATTATTTCAAAATAACTATTTCAGAATTAGCATTATTCCTAATGAAAAGCAGGAGTACAGATTTCGAATTCTGCAACCCGTCATTTTGAAATAACGGGCTTGGTAATGTGGATGCTTCACTGACAAATTAGACTGTGGCGGGATTATTTCAAAATAAAGTCCTAGTGTAGACCAGAGCCAGCAGGCACACTAATGGTTTCAGGAGAAAGCTCCTGAGTGAAAGTCTCCCCTAGAACATGAATATTTTTGTGGAAAAATCCGTCACAGAATTCAGGAACAGATTATTCTACTATTAATCTCAGTGACCATTCCTGTTCACTCCACTGGCAGCCATGGCAAATCATTTTAGCTTTGAACAGGTACTGTATCGTGCTGTTTCTGCCATTTAGACTTGCTTAACACCTTTGTGAATGCTAATCACAGTACTGAGCTATATTGAAGTGGCACAAGTGATTTGTAGGCACTTTGTATTCTGAGAAGTCCCCCCGTACTGGCAGAGCTATAAAAAGGAAAAGAAGGAAAGAAACATCCCATTTTGTTGTAGGTTCTAATTTACTGTAACCATTTCACTTTGATATGCTTAAGAGGCTTCTGCAATAACTAAAAGTCAGCCATGCCTATTCTGTTAAGTATAAGATGAGAAAAAGCAAATGGTAACCTCATGTTTTTGTACTAGAATCCTGTTGGAATTTAGATCCCAAAGCTCCATTGAATTGGTGGCCGCAGAACTCAGCACTGATTCTGTCATTTGCCAAATGAATAAGAAATACAAAATGCTACACTAACACAGGGGCAAGACATTTCTTAGAAGCTGTCTTAGGATACTAACATCAGAAAATATTTGAAAGGGAAGAGTGTCCTTTGGAATTATTGCATGGTTCCTGTGTTGAGGCCATGCAATTCAAATCAGATTTACCTCCTAAACCTAAACCCACCTCTTGGGGACACTGGCTCACTCTGTGTCAGGGTATGACCTAGCTCTAACTGAAGTTGATGAGAGTCTTTCTTGTTAAGATTTATAGGAGCTAGCTGAGCTGGAGGTGTGCAAGCAGAGAGCATGAGAAAGAGCTGCTCTCCCTTTGTGCCCCTGCATAGTGGCTGACTAAGATGTACTTCCCAGGGTCTACTAGCAGTGTCAGACTCTCCAAATGGGGAGGGAAAGGGACAGTAGCAGACAAGACACTGACCACCAGTGTTTATTCTGCACATGGATGGAAAAAATCTGCACATGATGGAAAAGGTTAGCAGGAATATTGCTGACCACCCTTCCTTTCTGTACTTGTCCAGGTGAGAGACGGGGGAATTATGCTACACTTGTGAAATGGGGGCAAAGCTTCTGATCTGTTGTGCTCAACCCATAAGTCTCCAGAAGCAGAGGCTCAATAGGTCGGAATACTTCCAGAGAGTCCTGTTGCAGTGTAGACTCTCTTCATCCCTTACCTACAATATGAACTGAACCACTGCCCTTGGTTTTTTGGACAGAATAATTTATCAAGTAACTGCCAAGGAGGTTGCTTAGCTCTGTGTTTCAATCTTGTTAGCAACATGTTCTTCATACATATACTACTTCAATATATGACGTGAAGTACGTTCAAGTAATACAGCATATATATTATATTTTTAAAAAGCAGTGGCTTAAACCTTCTGATATATCAGTAATAGCTGTAAGCTTTCTTCAGATTGTTTTATTGGTTGCTCTTTGTAATAAGAACAGCTCATTATTCATGGCCCTGAATTAAATTTTGTAATAGTTCTGCATATCCCATTGGCAAGAATGTGTTTTATTTTTACAGTATTTGAACACATTTATGTGTCTGTTTTGTTATCATTGTGATTCCAAAAGACTGCATTTATTTGAAGAAAGTGGGAGAACAAACTGTTAACATGACATTTTTTCACAGTGCAGCCCAGTGTCTATTAAAACAGAAGATTATTCTCACCCTCCCTTGTTCTCACACAAGCCTGCCTATCTCAGCATTCTAGAATGAAGGACACACAGATATCCAGCAATTAGTAGTTTGCACCACAACTTTATTTCTCTTTTATCTTCTAATTTGTATGTTTTGTTATGGTTTATTAAAACAAATTGAACAGAGAAGGAATTCCACTTGATGCTGGCAAAAACTGCTAAGTTGCTGGAAATAGCCTGTGCTAAAATGTACTTCAACCCAAATGGACAGAAAATAAAATAATGAAGTGGCTAAAAGAGAAACTTCCTTTACTACAGGGCTGAATTAAAAAAATGTGTTTCTTATATGCAAAAATAAAATGCAACATATTTGATAGCAATAGTAAATTCCTGAGATTCATTGTTCCCTAGAAGTAGGTTTTGGACAGTCGCACATATTCACACTAAAATTGTTTGTAAGTGAGAAAGTAACCCATCTGTCCACACATATGGTGAGAAAAGCAGAGAAATGTGTTCTGTAAAGCGCTGTACATTGTC